TGACAGTGGCCTTCAGGTCATCTGCATTGTTGGGTCTGGTGTCTCTCATCTTCCTCTTGACAATACCCCATAGATTCTCTATGGGGTTCAGGTCAGGCGAGTTTGCTGGCCAATCAAGCACAGTAACACCATGGTCATTGAACCAGCTTTTGGTGCTTTTGGCAGTGTGGGCAGGTGCCAAGTCCTGCTGGAAAATTAAATCAGCATCTCCATAAAGCTTGTCAGCAGAAGGAAGCAGGAAGTGCCCTCAAATTTCCTGGTAGATGGCTGCGTTGACTGTGGACTTCAGAAAACACAGTGGACCAACACCAGCAGATGACATGGCAGCCCAAACCTGTTATAGCTATGCTCAACTATCCCATAATGATGATGTGTTATTTGTGTTTTTGTTATGTGCTTTGTTTGTGTCAGGTGGAGCAGATTCCAGGTAGAGTTTTTTTCTGCAGCAATGCTGATCTACAAACCGTGACACAACTCAAGTCAGCAGAGAGGCTGTTTATCCTTCTACGCAAAGCTGAACCCATTTCACTTCCCAACAACCCAGGTGTGAATGATCGAGAATTCACTGTTCTGATTGGTTGAAAACAGATGACATCATACAGAGTAAAAAAAAAAACTCTGCAACTTTTATTTAATGTTCAAAAATATGCTTGTGCAAATAATCACTGCCCATCCTGCCATGAGAACATTTTAGTGAATGTACTGTGAACCTTCGAGCAAGTCTTATTTGCATTAGTGAAATCACACTTCAGTCAGCAGGTTGTGAGAAACTTTCAGTACATCATTTGCCTATTTACTGTAGGTATTCAAGAGATCAGAACCAGTGTACCACATTATATTTACATGCAGCCCATTTTACTGATCTTCCCTTTTCTTGTTTTAATAGCAAAGGCAGCTGCTGTTATAAAGCAGAGAGTTGTGGGAGATCCAGACATTTGGAGGCAGACCTTCCTAACCCGGACAGCCCTGCAGCAAGAGCTTCAGTGCAGCCAGCAGCGTGGACAGAAGAGAAAGAGAGAGGATGAAGAGGAGAGTTTGCACACACCATCCTTCAGAGTGAGCTGCCGATGTAGTGGAGTCATTGCCCGCTCTTATACCTCTCAGGTGTTTATTTTGTAATATTTTTTCATGGTATGTTTTAATGTGCTCTGTATAATGCAATCTAAAATGCAGTCTAATTTAAACCTTGTAATAAACAGACACGTTAAAAATTAAAGCTAATTTTTACATTTTTAAATGCAAATTGTTATGCAATATCAATATTGTAATATCAATTGTTATAACAAATGCTAAAAAATAATCATTTTCATTAGTGGTCTCAAATTTGGACACCATTATATATTGGTGAAAATATTAATCCATTCATAAACCCGACTTATTCTGTTTCTGTGTGTATGTTTAGAGACTGAGTCGTATCATTGGGATGGCCATCAAAGAAGATCTTGGATGGAAGGTTGACCTAAGAGAGCCTGTTTTTGAGGTATGCACACTCAAATAATAAAATAAAAAAGACAATAAGTGCATAAACACACACGGAACCACTGGCATTCAAATGTTTATGCATAAATGCATGCAAACAAATACTACATACGCACTGATATGTTTACGATTACAATCAGTTTAGCTATGACTGTTAAAATTTTACTGTTTTGGTTGTCTCTTTGTGTAAATAGGTGAATGTGTATTTAAGCGATGACCATTGCATTGTAGCCATCCCTCTTTTGAAGTAAGTATCTCTCCATATAACATTTGAAAGTCTGTCAATTTAAGATCTAATGCAGTGTGTGTTTTTTTCAGGCATCCTCTGTCTAGTCGATCTTATATGAAACACAACGGGTTGCGTTCTACGATAGCCTGGGCCATGAGCTCTCTTTGCCCTAAAAAGGTGAGGTCTAGAATGACTTTCAAGTAGGCAAATGCACACATACACGGTAGAATCATTAAATCAGCAGCATTAACACAGCATCTCTAGTTCCTTGGAGTGAGAGTGGGAAACGTATTCATACATGACAAGTCCTTATCTTGAAAAGCATATTAAGAATATACATTACTGTTCAAAACACTTGTGCTGCTTAATATTTTTGTGGAAACCATGATACTTTTTTCCCCCGGATATTTTGATGAATGGAAACTTCAAAAGAACAGTGTTTATTTGAAATAGAAATCTTTTATAACATTATGAATATCTCTTTACTGTCACTTTGCTGAATAAAAGCTATGAAACTATAGCTTTTCATAGTTTCTGTGCTCTTCTCTCTCACTCTCTCTCCACAGCTGAATGATTGTGTGATTTTAGACCCAATGTGTGGAGTTGGTGCTGTGTTGTTAGAAGCAGCTCAGGAGTATTCAGTACGTAAACACATATCACATACTCTTAACTCCACATGCAAATTTTCACACACTCACGTTCACATCTGACTAACTGTATACATTGTGTATGGCTTCAGAATGCTGTATTTCTAGGCATGGATACAGACTTGTCGCAGTTGCAGAAAGCTGCAGAGAACGTCAAAGCATCTGGAATGGAAGGAAAAGTGCAGCTACTTCAGTCTTCTGCCATGGGTTTGGACAAATTCTCTCCCCTTTCATCATCTCTGACCCTGTTTAGCCTACTTAAATTTGTGTAGGCTCTCGGGTGTTCTGTGTACATGTGAACATTAATAAAATCAGCTGTAAACAGGGTTGAAGACATTGTGTGATCAATTCAGAAATTTGTGTGACCATATTGTTAAGGTTCATGCTATTGCATCCTGATGCCGCCTGGATAACAGCAAAGCACCACCTAGCTGCACTAAACTAGGGCTTTAAAGGAGTAGCTCATCCAAAAAGGATAATTTGATGAGAATTTACTCACCCTCAGGCCATCCACGATGTATATAAGTTTCTTTATTCATCAGAACAGATTTGGAGAAATGTAGCATTACATCACTTGCTCAACGATGCATCCTCTGTAGTGAATGGGTGCCATCAGAATAAGAGTCCAAACAGCTGATAAAAGCATCACAATAATCCACACAACTCTAGTCCATCAGTTTATGTCTGGTGAAAAGCTGTGTATTTGTAAGAAATAAATCCATCATTAAGGAGCATTATTTGAACCCGTCGCTTCTGGCCAAAACACCAGTCCATAATCCTCAGGAATGCTTCCTCCAGTGAAAATACATCCTCTGGTGTTCTCTCACATCAAAATCCACCTTCATATTAATTTAGAACTGTTCTGGATTGTTTTCTCTTGTAAACAGTGCTTGATCTGTATTTCTCTCTTAATTCAGACAATATTACATTTTCCCTCGAGAAAACAGTGTTATTGGATAGAGGGCTCTTGTTTTAGCCAGAAGCACCGGTTTGAAGTTACACAGTAAAAACATCTTAATGATGGATTTGTTTATTACAAACATGTAGCTTTTCACTTCGCAAGACATTAATTGATGGACTGAAGTCAAGTTGTGGATTATTGTGTTGTTTTCATCAGTTGTTTGGACTCTCACTCTGACGGCACCCATTCACTGCAACTGATCTATTGGTGGTGAGCAAGTGATGTAATGCTAAATTTCTCCAAATCTGTTCAAATGAAGAAACAAACTCATTTACATCTTGGATGCTGGAAATTTTCAGCATTTTTGGGACACCAATGTGTGCATGTAACACAGTATATAAATTAAAAGAGCCTTGTCTCCTTTTTTTGTTCCTCAGAGATCCCTCTTGCAGATGGGGCAGTTGATGCTGTGCTGTGTGATGTTCCTTTTGGCAGGAAGTTCAGCTGCAGCTCTGACATGCCAACTGCACTGCCACGCTTACTGAGAGAGATGGAGAGGTCTGTTTTATGATCATATGTCTATACCTTCTCTACAAATACCCATGCTTTTGGGCTGTTGTTGTATAGTCAATGTGTTTTTCTTTCTTCAGGGTACTTTGTGTTGGTGGACATCTTGTTCTCTTACTGAGTTTGCAGCTTTCTGCACAGCTTAAGAAGACAATTTGCACACACGAACACAATCAAAATGTAAATTCCTTAGACACAAATAATCTTGACACTGACCCCTCAAACACACACAATGAAAGCACAGACACACCAAAACCCTTAATGTTTTACAAATCAAGCTCTGAAATGTCAAATTCACCGTTATTAATTAACTCATTACAAGCACAGAGGACACACAGGGTTAGTCTGGGCAGCACAGACGCATTTATACACACCTACACCAAAATAAAAACTCAAACACTCTCACTCTGAAATAAGCTCACCCTGATGTGCTTTTGTGGACAATCAGAGGATTTACAACAAATGAGCAAGGTGCTAATAAAATCTATTTAAAAGATCCTCATATTGTCTTTCATTAAAAATAACTTGGTTATTGCTAAAAATTACAAGTTTAAGTGATTATAATACGGTTGTGGTTTGTATAGATGTGAGAGTCTGGTTTGCACAGTACTTAAATCAAATCAATCAAATCAAGTTTTTTTGAGGTTATGATGATGATGATTAACAAAAATGTTATTCCCTGCTCAGAATTAACAGTGCCTTTTTAAACACCTTCATTGCAACTTTTACGCGTAATTGTTGTAGTACATTGGTTGCCTCTTTCACAATGTGTTATTCAAAAAGTGTTTTTTCATTGCTAATGATTATCATTATATTTCACAAGTTTATATTTCATCTTTGTTTCTCATAATTGCCATTGTATAATATTGTAACATCAATGTAGCATCAATAGTCTTTATATAAGTAGACTTTATAAACAGTGTTATTTTGTCATTATTTATATACTATTATAGTATTTATTATTATTGTGAATTAGCTTTTACTTTTATTAAAACTTTAGTTTCAAGTAATTTTGCTTTTTTTTTAATCAATTTGCTTTTGATTTAGTTTTTGTTTGTAACATTTCCATATAGGTTTAATTAATTTATAATTTAGTTTTAGTAATTTTAGTACTTCTAACACCGTGTCTACACCGGACGTGAGCGGCGCGACGCGACAAAATACAATAGAACCTTATATGTTTTCTACACTGGATGAGGCGCGGCGCGACATATTCCCGACAGTAAACTGCTGCTGCTTTCTATTTATGATGTACTGACACAAATTTGAAATGATTTTCAAGGTTGCTTTGTTGCCTCCAGTGTAGACAGACTTTAGCTGTTGCGGCGCTGTGCGACACGACAACTGTCGGTCCCGTGTAAGTTTATTTTTTTTTGTTTTCATCTCGTATTTACTTTACTGTAAATTTTATTCAGATTTATTTTAATTACTATTATTATTTATTTTATATTTATTTATTTATAATTAAGTTAAAAATTACAACTGTCCTTGACAACTCCAAACTTTTCGTCCAAATTTTAAACTATGGGCTAAATCAATTTTATTATAATTTCAAACTGTTATGTTTTGTTTTAAATGTTTTGCCTGAAAAGAAAGCTTGTGTTACCGTTCTTAGCTTACCTTTTTTTTTGCTGTCTATTAAAATAAAATTGACAGATTTTAAGCGTGGTTTACGTTTTCAAGCTGTTTCTGTTTTATTATGTGAAACGTTAGAAATTTCTCCATGTTCAGTGTGTTTGTTGTGTTGTCAGGCAGTCGCATTGCGCATGCGCACAGGAGGCATACTTGCTGAATAAAAGTATTAATATCTTAATATAAAAGATATTTAAAGGAAATAAATAAAAGGTAAATCTTTCTGATCTTTAATCTTACAAACATTTCAACAGTAGTGCATGTATATGCATATAACATACATATAATGTGTAATTAAAAGGTGCTGTATGTTAAATTATTTTTTTTAAATTAAAATTTATAGATATATCGATCAGGTGGTTTAATCTAGAAATATATTTGGGAATCAGGTGATATCCTTTCTTATCTTTCTACTAGTCTGTGACAGACATATCATTGTATATTGAACTATTTCTGTTCTATGTTCTTTGAGTCAGTCAACATTTTCTAAAATAAGTGTTCATTTCATTTAAACAATCTCATTTGCTGTCTTTACATTTTATTTGGTATGTCAGCCACTGGATCAGTAGATATTTGAAGCATTAGTCCACATTGGTCAACCAGTAGTTAAAATACTTTCTCCAAATACCAGCTTAATGTGCATAGACAACTGTATGTATGTCACATGGGTAAAATTTTCCAAAAAGTCTAAACAACATTTCTTTCAACATTGCTTTTTGTTTTTGCTGTCAATATTAACCAACTAGTGGTGTTCATTTAGGGTGAGACTGTCTGTATGTCCAAACAGTGCTAGATAAGGGAAATGTTTTGTAAACCTGTTTGATGTCTCTTAGCTTTAATAAGTTGCTGGAGCAGATCCATCTTTATTGCACAATTTTTGCGCTTATGGACTCACAACTCTTATGCTTTCCATTTCCAGGCTCGTAATGTCAACACTGGAGAACTGGCTGCTATCAAAGTCATCAAACTAGAGCCAGGTGAGCCATCCTAATACATACTTGCTGAATAAAAGTATTAATATCTTAATATAAAAGATATTTAAAGGAAATAAATAAAAGGTAAATCTTTCTGATCTTTAATCTTACAAACATTTCAACAGTAGTGCATGTATATGCATATAACATACACATAATGTGTAATTAAAAGGTGCTGTATGTTAATTTATTTTTTTTAAATTAAAATTTATAGATATATCGATCAGGTGGTTTAATCTAGAAATATATTTGGGCATCAGGTGATATCCTTTCTTATCTTTCTACTAGTCTGTGACAGACATATCATTGTATATTGAACTATTTCTGTTCTATGTTCTTTGAGTCAGTCAACATTTTCTAAAATAAGTGTTCATTTCATTTAAACAATCTCATTTGCTGTCTTTACATTTTGTTTGGTATGTCAGCCACTGGATCAGTAGATATTTGAAGCATTAGTCCACATTGGTCAACCAGTAATTAAAATACTTTCTCCAAATACCAGCTTAATGTGCATAGACAACTGTATGTATGTCACATGGGTAAAATTTTCCAAAAAGTCTAAACAACATTTCTTTCAACATTGCTTTTTTTTTTTGCTGTCAATATTAACCAACTAGTGGTGTTCATTTAGGGTGAGACTGTCTGTATGTCCAAACAGTGCTAGATAAGGGAAATGTTTTGTAAACCTGTTTGATGTCTCTTAGCTTTAATAAGTTGCTGGAGCAGATCCATCTTTATTGTGAGTCAGATATATATATATAACAAGTATAATCATGTTATTGCACAATTTTTGCGCTTATGGACTCACAACTCTTATGCTTTCCATTTCCAGGCTCGTAATGTCAACACTGGAGAACTGGCTGCTATCAAAGTCATCAAACTAGAGCCAGGTGAGCCATCCTAATGCTGCTGCTGCACACACTGTGCTGCTTAATTACCTCTAGATAGTGCCCTATCACTGTCAATCTATACTTGAATAGTTAAATATTACAGCTGTGGTGTGTTCATGCATTGTAATGGTCTGACTGTGCGTGCATTTTAAATACAGGCAGCATGTTCACACACTTTTTAGTGCAGAATCACAGTTTACACGTTTGGGTCTGTTTGCACTTGACATATTTCTTTATGAAATTTTTTTTTGTCAATTGATTTTTGCAGGAGAGGACTTTGACGTGGTGCAGCAGGAGATTATTATGATGAAAGATTGTAAACACTCAAACATTGTTGCATATTTTGGCAGTTACCTCAGGTACATTTACACACATGCAGTCAAACACCGGCTCTGGCTTTATTTAATATGTTTTATACATTTTATAATGTAGTACAAGCTTTTGGTTGTACATTTCAGCTGTTTTTTTTAGCACCACATCACCGGTCAAAAATTTGGAGTCACAGCAAAGATTTTATAATCTTACAAAAGATTTCTATTTAAACAAAAATGCTGTGCTTTTAATCTTTATATTCATCAAAGAATCCTGAAAATGGATTTCCACTGAAGTATTAGGCAATAACTGTTTTCAACATTGATAATAATAAAAAAACAAATGTTACTTGAGCATTAAATATTAGAATGATTTCTGAAGTATCATGTGACTCTGAGGACTAGAGTAATGGCTGCTGAAAATTCAGCTTTGCCTTCACAGAAATAAATGACATTTTAAAATATAAAATGAAAAAGTAGAAAACAGTAATTTTAAATTGCAATAATAGTTCACACGATTACTGTTTTGCTGTATTTTCAATCAAACAAATGCAGCCTTGACAAACATAAGAGATTTCTTTCAAAAAATATTTGAATATCTTACTGACCCCAAACTTTTGAATATATGATTTCTCTCTTTTCAGCTTTGTTGATATTTTTTACTACCTGTTGAAGTACATGCCACAACCCAATTTATACAAGCACCGCTTTTAAGCTGGTCTGACAAGACTTGATAATTGATGTCTTAATATCCCTGTTTCAGGAGAGATAAATTATGGATCAGCATGGAATACTGTGGTGGAGGCTCACTCCAGGATATTTACCATGGTAACTATTGTCACCAAAAACAGGAGTTTATAATGCATTTATCATGTTGAGCTGTTCAGCAGTATCTCTCATATACTTGTAAATCTATCTCTAACAGTTACTGGGCCATTGTCAGAATCCCAAATTGCGTATGTATGTCGGGAGACCCTGCAGGTATATACATACACATTTACTAATGTTTAAAAATACTGATATGTGACAGTTTAAATAGATTCAAGTTTTGGTGTTCATTTCAGGGTGTTTACTATCTCCATAACAAAGGCAAGATCCACCGAGATATAAAGGTACAGACTGGACGTCAAAACACAATTAAATCTCACTTGAAGGAGGCCATTCCACACAGTGTTGACATAATTAGCACTCGTGTCCCACTTGACCGATATTATGCAAAAGTCTGACATAGATTAAGTGTTTTTTTTTTCTTTTGGAAAATGCTGTTCTTGAGACCAGGATTGTTTCAAAGACGTTGCAATTTGTTGTTATCTTTCACAGTTGCTCACTGTGGTTCTTCTCTTGCTTTATAGGGTGCAAATATACTGTTGACGGACAATGGCTACGTTAAGCTAGGTAAGAAAACACTTTGTGTGAACACCTTGGGAGCTTGCATTTAATAAGAATTCCACTCTCACACCTGCTGTTTGTCTCTTTCCAGCTGATTTTGGCGTTTCAGCTCAGATATCAGCCACTTTAGCAAAAAGAAAGTCCTTCATTGGAACTCCATATTGGTATGTCAGTCCTCCTTTGTCTCTTGTGTGGAAGGATTGTTTTAATAGTTTGATTCTAGTCATTGGGCTGTTTTTCTCTGTAGGATGGCTCCTGAGGTGGCAGCAGTTGAACGGAAAGGTGGATACAATCAGCTGTGTGATATTTGGGCCGTGGGCATCACAGCTATTGAGCTGGCAGAGTTAGAGCCGCCAATGTTCGACTTGCACCCCATGAGGTGTGTGTCCTGTGCCTTGTACTGACTTAAAGGGTTAGTTCACCCAAAAATGAAAATTAGCCCACAAATTACTCACCCTCAAGTCATCCTAGGTGTATATGACTCTCTTCTTTCAGACGAATCCAGTCGGAGCTAAATTAAAAATTGTCTTTGATCTTTCAAGCTGTTTAATGCCACTCAGCGGGTGTTGCATGCATCAGTCCAAAAGAAGTTAAATAAAAAGCAACCATCCATAAAAAAAGTGTCTCACACGGCTCCGGGGGGTGAACAAAAGCCTCCTGTAGCGAATCGTTATGTTTTTGTAAGAAAAATATCCATATTCAAACGTAATAATCACTTTAATGTAGCTTGCGCCAACAGTTGTACACGGAAGCAGTTCCGGGCGGATGATGTATGAGTTCAGCGTTGCGCATGCGCCGCTCAGAAGTTACAAACGCGGAAGCGCAGCGGAGAGATCAAAACAAAACAACGGTCACTTATTAGAAGTACAAAACGAGGATTTGTAAAGAAGAATGTCGGAGGATTTCGATTTCTTTTTTTTATGGATAGATGCTTTTTATTTAACTTATTTTGGACTGATGCATGCAACACCCGCTGAGTGCCATGAAACAGCTTGAAAGATCAAAGACAATTTTTAATATAACTCTGACTGGATTCGTCTGAAAGAAGAAAGTCATATACACTTAGGATGACTTGAGGGTGAGTAATTTGTGGGCTTATTTTCATTTTTGGGTGAACTAACCCTTTAATGTCACTGTGCTGCATCATGAGTAGTTTGTTGCTGCACATGTAAATGAATTAATTTTGTAAATAATATATGTCACACAAGACACCTTCAGTATGTTTACACTCTAACTTTCTCCTGCTTTTCAACATTTTTTTTGTCCATTCTGCTGTGTTTCCCCTTCTCAGAGCACTTTTCCTAATGACCAAGAGCAGTTTCCAACCACCTAAGCTGAAAGACAAAGTAAAGTGGTAAGTATTTGTAAATGTATACAATTTAAAGTACAGTTTATTCAAAAGTGTTTTTAAAGAGGTCTCTTACATATACCAAGGGTGCATTTATTTATTCAAACATACAGTAAAAACAGTAATATTGTGCAATGTTATTAAAATTTTTATATATTTTAAAATACAATTTATTCCTCTGATGGCAAAGCTGAAGTTTCAGCAGCCATTACTCCAGTCTTTAGTGTCACATGATCCTTCAGAAATTATTCTAATTATATTCTAATTTGCTGATTTGGTGTTCAAGAAACTTTTCTTATCATTATTAATGCTGAAAACAGTTGCTGTAAGTGATGCATTTTTTCAGGATTATTTTGTGAATAGAAAGTGCAACATCATTTGAAATAGAATTGCTGAATAAAAGTATTAATTTCTTTAAAAAAAAAACTACTGACCCTAAACTTTTAAATGGTTGTGTATATTAAAGGAGTGGTATGGGTTCAATGCAGCTTAAGCTCTATTGATAGAATCTGTGAAAAATGTCAGTTACCACAAAATATAAATAAATAAAATATAAATAAAACTCATAACAGGAAGGGCATTCACCTACAAATGTATTTCCACTTAAAAATGATGATTTATAGCTTAAAATATAAATAGGTTTTTACTAATTCACATAATTGATCACATTTCTAACTTCACATTTCAAAACCTCCCAATTTCAATTGTAAGGCTTGTAATTATAAATTTAAAAATGTTTTGTGGTAAAGAATATTTCCAAGAATATCACTTTATGATTGAAAAACACACTCATTTGTTTTGGCTCATGAAGGACAAATAATTTCCACCACTTTGTGAAAATGGCTTTGACCAAAAATCCCAAGAAGAGACCAACGGCTGACAGATTACTGCAGGTAAGATCCACCCTCCCTTTAGAGAACATTTATGATTGGCTCCAGTTATCCACCATCAATCAGTAATTTTTCATTGCATCACTTCTCTCTTTTTGCAGCACCCATTCGTTACCCAACCGCTTAGCCGGACTCTTGCCATTGAGCTACTGGACAAAGCCAACAACCCTGACCACAGCACACACAGTGATGCAGAGGAGGATGACATTGACCCAGAGGTGATGTTATATATCTGACTCTCTTTTTTTACCTTTTAACCAGTGGGAAAACCATACACTGAAGCACTGATCTCTAATTGGTTGTTTCTTTAGATGTAGATCCTAAGAGAGGGCAGACAGTTGGCTCTGCCAGCTGCCAGGTATAAGTGTGTCCGGTTACCCATGCTGCAGTGTGCATATGCGATTGTGTGTGTATGTGAATGCATGAGAGTTTATTGGTTTTAACACATAACGGCAGTGGCTTGCAGTGTTGTCTTGAGGAAAGATTAGGGACTTGTAACAGATATTCAGAAAATGTATGTATGTACTGTATGTTACTAAGCCGTTTTAGCTTTCAAGTTTAAAAACTTTACTTGTGGTCTCTGTGTTTGCAGTCTCCCGTGTCTGTTCCGCATCGAATCCGCTCAACTAGCAGGAGCTCACGAGATGGAAAGACTCTGTCTGAGATTAACTGTAAGTCATGTCTCAATTAGCCTTTGATTCACTGAACCGAAATAAGCACAAGAATTCTCAGCCTACTTAAAAGCACAGAGAGAAATCTGAAGTCTGTGTGTGTGTGTGTCCCTCTCCTAGTTGATAAGGTGAAGTTCGACCCGCCTCTGAGAAAAGAAACCGAACCGCATCATGAGATGGTTTGTGACATTATGCCATTGATTTATTGTGGTTTAGTGTGTTTGTTTGGACTTGACTTGTCTGACTGCCTTTTTGATTCATGTAGGATCTACCATTAGAGCCCCAAAGCATTCTTGGAAATAACAAGTGAGTGTGTGTGTGTGTTATGCTTTACTTGTAAGTTTATCAAACTAAGGAATGAATGAATAAGGAAAAGTCTTGACCTCATTAATCAACTAGTCAGCTGATATACGAATAGGTCATTAGTTATCTCTCTGAATCCATTCCTAGTTTAAAATAACAAATTCTACTGATGCTCCTCGTCACCTGTACCATTTCCGTGCTCGTTTGACTCCTAGTGCCTGGTGCTGAGGCGAGGTGGAGTACGCGTTTGAAAAGTCTCCTGTTTGATGTGGTCGTAAAGATATTCTGCATCTAAATAAACGCAATTCTTGTCAAGAAAATAAAGAGGCAGCAGTTATGAGTGGGGTGGCCAACCCTAGCTCCGCCCCTGCGTTAACTGTGTTAAATTTTTTTACCGCCGTTAAACTGGAAAAATGAATCACCCTGACTTCACTAATTAAATAGTTTTGTTGGGACATTCCTATTGAACCAGATCCTATATTAATTATATTTGGAGTTTCCGAAGAATTTTTGAGACTTACACGGGTACAACAACAGTTTGTTTCATATGGGTTGATCTGTGCCAAAAAACTTATCCTTTTGTTTTGGATGAAAAAAGAAGTTCCAACTCTTAAATTATGGCTGACAGAGTTGACAGGTACACTACATCTGGAAAGAATCAGGTATACCCTAATAGACAAGATTTTGTTATTTGAAAAAATCTGGTCCCCTTTTATTTCCTTTATACAAACTTGTGATTAATAGGTTTAAAATGTCTTCAGTACCTACTTTTACCACTGGATAGCACTTATGGGTTAAGTTTTTGGGTGGGGGGAAATGTATTAAAAAAAAAATTTTTGTTCATTTATTATTTTCATGACTATTGTTTGTTTTTAATTTTCTTCTATTTGTTAAAATGTAAGTTTTATATGTTTGTATTTAAAAAAAGTGTAATTACAAATGACTGTCTGCTAAAATTTCTAATAATAAATATTTAAACCAAATAGAAAGCTATTTTAAATAGTAAAAATATTTCAAAATGTAAATAGTTTTGTTGGATGAATATTTTATTATCACAACAAATATGTTTGTGTATTTTGTATATATGTGTAAAACAAGTTCTTTTCTGTCTTTTATTCATTATTTTTGTAGGAGTCTATTAAAATCTGTTGCTGAGGAGCTCAATCAAAGGTATAGCCCCTCCTACTGTCTCTTTTGATTGGTCAGCCAATCCTCTATGCAATCTAATCACTTCTGCAGTCTCATCTCCTCTGCTTGGCACTGAGAAGCTCTTACTGCTGAGTGTGTGTGTGTGTGTGTGTGTTCTCTGCATTCTTCTCTGGCCACTGTACCTTCTTAGCCTCACCCTCTTCATCTCTCTCAGGGGTCATGTGACACATTTAGAGGATGAGGAGGAGGATGAAGGTGATGATTTTCAGTAAGTGAGAGGAAGATGTAATGTGAGATGTGTATCATTCAAAAACACCTGTGATCATCCGTGACTCCCTGTCTGTTAGTGTCAACCAGATGTGAGACTGAAGGATGCGCTCGGTTTGTTTTGTAGTGTGTCTGGTTTGTAGTTGCTTGCTGGTGCACAAATGCATGATTGTTATTGAAATGCACATCATTATTTTTTAATTCATGTGCCCTCGTAATCTTTATTCAAAAACTTTAACCTCCCCTCAGCCTCGCAACAACAATATCTTCTCTAATGTGTGCTTTGGTGCGAAGGCTAGGCAATAAAACCTCCTCTACAGCAACTTGACAATGATCCAATCAATTCCTGATGGACAAATTGAAGTCCCACCTTACATGTTTGCTAGTTTGATAAGCTGTTTCACTCGAATATACATCACAATAGGGGAGAAAAGATTATCACAATGTCCATTTCATGCCAACTTTAATACAATTGCATATGCTACTATGTTTTTATAAAATCACATTTACAATTTTTGTCTGCCAGACAATATTCCCATAGATTTTCTCATAGATTTTCCCATAGATTAACTTTGAAGGAGGAACCTGGTTTATAACCTAGAGAGCAGAGTATCATAGAGGCTTAGGTCTGGGCTTTTTTTGATTTGGAACAGTACACAACCACTTAGAACACCCTAGAAACCACACAGCATTAGCAACCACCCAGAACACCCTAGCTAAGCAATGCTAATATATTTATGCTAATGATATTTGCAGGGACAAGTACCACTCATATTTTCTTCAGAAATGTAAAAATATAGTCATAAAAATGTTGTATATGTTGTAGTAATTTGATTCAACATTTGTTTTGGTTTGTTTAATAACCTGGTGATGAGCACAAGATATACAGTAACACTTTCATTTCCAGTCGCTTTGAAGCTCAAAATCCAAACTGAGGACAATTGCAAATTGTGTTTCCTGAAATCTCAAACTCTAAGAAGTTCAAAATATTCCCAAGATCTGCTCTGGATTAGGTTGATTATGTGTATGTGAGCATATTTAGCACTCAGTTTGTGTGTCTTGTGTCCACATGACCATTCTTGCTTACTTTCTTTACTGTTTTTAACATTGCATATGAGGTCTCTTTCTTCATCTGATTGTATCCCTGTATGTGTTTCCACCTTTCAAAGAAACTGTGCTGTTGGTCCTTGCATCCTGGTTTTGTGTTACCACATCATGATTAGCAGTAATATAAATAATTGCAATGATTTTTGTGTGTCTGCGTCTACAGCAGTAACTCCACTTCCACAATGAGGCCTAAAGTGCCACCTCCTCTGCCACCCAAGGTAAAACTTACACACACTTTTCCTATGCAAAACATGCCTTCTGACATTGTGTAACTCCCACTCACATCTCTCTTTTTCCCTTAATCTCTTCCTAGCCGAAGCTTCTGTCTCCAGGTCAGAACAGTACCGCCTCAGAGGACAGTACCGGAGAAGGGACCATTAAACGTTCCCCAGCTTCTGCAAGCTCCACCCCTCCTGTTCGGCCTGCTTCCTGTGTGCCCCCCAGACCACCACCTCCTCGCCTGCCTCCACACAGGCGTAGTAGTCTAGGTAACAAACCATCTGAGCACGATCAGACAGAGCCAGCAGGGGATGATGAGATTTATAGGTTCTGGGAATGGCTTCATGCTGAACAACAGGAAGAACCAAGTAAGCTAAGCACCGCCCACTTGAGGGTGCCCTCCTGTGATTGGTAGACAGCCCTGCCAGTCTTCCTCTATTCCTTGTGCTTTTGAATAATATTGGCATGAGTTCAGTCACCCAACACAGATAGCTGTAGCTTTACCATAGGTTAGTTAAGAGCCTCGTAGATGAGTCAGTGTGATATAGTAGTTAGATTGTGTTGTTTGACAACCCAATTCACGTAATATTTTATGCAAATAACAAGGTAACGATCGTGGCCCAAAATGTAGCGCAGAATACACTTTGCACAGCTAAAGTCTTTTTCATTGCCTAGTTATTTAGGATGCAGCAGACTACCTATATCTGACATACATGGGAATATCCACTTTATTTTTAGCTTAAGAACGGACATGGCCATTTTTAATTTGAATGTGCAAGGCTTATGGTTTTTATTCACTCCAGTTATTTTAGCTGTACAAAAGTCTGTTATGCTGCTTGCACTATTGAAAAAACTGCTTAAAAAACGCTTAAGCTTGTTGGCTAGACTGGTTAAAGCTGGAAGTAGCTGGTTTTAGATGGCCTTCTAGCCTGGCCAAGCTGGTGTTCATCTGGTTTTAGCTGGTCTCCCAGACTAAAAAGTTGTCAAAACCATCTGTGATCAGGCTGGAAGACCAGCCAACCAGCTCTGAGTGGAGTAGTATTTCAAAATTATATTTATTATCATATATTTTATTTATTATAATAAACATGTACATACTGTTTTTTTAGCAAATGAATCAGAAGTCTTGCAACTTCTAGACACCTGAATTACTCAGTTACTGAATTAGCACAATAACATCTGTATTAAAAACCCCCCACAAATTCTATGTACTGCTTGCTTTCTGCAGGTAGTATTAGTGCAAACATAATCAAGCAAATAGCATGTTTTTTTTGTGTGTGTTTTTTAAAGGGGCATATATAAAGAGCCTAATTTCCATAAGCGTGTCTTTGTTTTTTTGTGGTTTCAGTTTTCAAAGGACAGATGATATAATGTGATAATTTATGTGCAGGTAATGGAGTTTCTGTCCAGGAGAATGGAGAGAAAGAAAAACTTGCCTCCCTTCCCTCATCTAATCTAAAGGTATGGTTAATGTACGGTGGCCGAGAAGTGCAAAGCAGATCACAATTCTGAAAACAAAATAACAAATTACAAACGCAAATGCAAGTCTAAAAAACAAAATATCAATTCAGAAAGCACAACAACAATTCAGAAAACATTATAACAAGTCAGAAAACACAACGACAAATCCGAAAACAAATTTACAAGTCAGAAAACACGACGACAAATCCGACAAACCAGAAGAGGTAGGTATAGTTTGAGACAGCGCCATTGGTTTGGGATTTACTCACCGCTGACTGGACGAGACATCTGTCAATCAACGTATACAGGAAGAACCAGCCGAAGAACAACAGAGTTGTGGTAGAAAGTTCGGAGATGGTATTAAAGTAGCTCAGTTTAAATGTATTGTATGAATTGCCCTTACTCTGGAATAAAAAATACGGGGTGTATATTTACATTTAATTAAAAGTGGCTGTAAATTATCAGCTCCAGTGGCGCAGATGGATAAGCGCGTGCTCTTGGCTTTTTGACGCGATCGACATGGGTTCGATCCCGCCTTTTGCCAAACTTTTTTTTTCTCCCTTTTCAAATCTCGTATCACATCGTAAAGGCATTTATTTTCAATAAAAATTAAGGAAATAATCAAAAAGTTGAAAATAAAGTATCGGGTAGGGTTAGGGTAGGTGTAGGGAGGGCTTTATTGTACCAAAAAGGTGGCATCCATGTAATAATTAAAATTATAATTTACACTCAATACGTTATTATTGCATACTGTTTTATAATGTACTACAATACTGAAGTGCAGATAATTGCCACTATTTGCAACAAGTAGTATACTTGATAGTAGAAATCCTGCTATTTTAACATAGTGTAAATAGGTATTTGCACTTAGTGTAAATAGCATATTGCTAAAAATACTGCTATTTTCACTTAGTGTAAATCGAATCCATTGCTAATACGAGATTTGAAAAGGGAGAGAAAAAAAGTTCGGCAAAAGGCGAGATCGAACCTGGGTTGATCACATCAATAAGCCAAAGGCACACACTTATCCATCTGCGCCACTGGAGCTGATGTTTTAAAGCCACTTTTAACTAAATGTAAATATACACCCCGTATTTTTTATTCCATAGTAAGGGCAATTCATACAATACATTTAAACTGAGCTACTTTAATACCATCTCCGAACTTTCTACCATGACTCTGCTGTTCTTCGGCTGGTTCTTCCCTGTATACGTTGATTGACAGATGTCTCGTCCAGTCAGCGGTGAGTAAATCCCAAACCAATGGCGCTGTCTCAAACTATACCTACCTCTTCCGGTTTGTCTGATTTGTCGTTGTGTTTTCTGACTTGTAAATTTGTTTTCGGATTTGTTGTTATGCTTTCTGAATTGTTATTTTGCTTTTTAGACTTGCATTTGCGTTTGTAATTTGTTATTTTGTTTTCAGAATTGTGAGCTGCTTTGCACTTCTCGACCACCGTATTAATGCTTTATATATATTTGCAAAAACAGATAACTCAGTTTTTTTTTTAATTTTCAAAAATCGTGTTTTTTATAATGTTATCATGTTTTTATTGTGTTAGTTAGCTGTTTTTTTTTTGTTATTTTTTAACCTAGTCAAAACCCCAACTGCAGTTTGATTGAGATTAATTGGAATGCACAATGAAAAAACATGATTTCTGAGAATTGTTAAAAACTGAGTTTTTGCAAATTAACTCTTCATATACAGTGGGTACGGAAAGTACTCAGACCCCCTTAAATTTTTCACTCTTTGTTATATTGCAGCCATTTGCTAAAATCATTTAAGTTAATTTTTTTTCCTCATTAATGTACACACAGCACCCCATATTGACAGTAAAACACAGAATTGTTGACATTTTTGCAGATTTATTAAAAAAGAAAAACTGAAATATCACATGGTCCTAAGTATTCAGACCCTTTGCTCAGTATTTAGTAGAAGCACCCTTTTGATCTAATACAGCCATGAGTCTTTTTGGGAAAGATGCAACAAGTTTTTCACACCTGGAGTTGGGGATCCTCTGCCATTCCTCCTTGCAGAGCCTCTCCAGTTCTGGCAGGTTGGATGGTAAACGTTGGTGGACAGCAATTTTTAGGTCTCTCCAGAGATGCTCAATTGGGTTTAAGTCAGAGCTCTGGCTGGGCCATTCAAGAACAGTCACAGAGTTGCTGTGAAGCCACTCCTTCGTTATTTTAGCTGTGTGCTTAGGGTCATTGTCTTGTTGGAAGGTAAACCTTCAGCCCAGTCTGAGGTCCTGAGCACTCTGGAGAAGGTTTTCATCCAGGATATCCCTGTACTTGGCCGCATTCATCTTTCCCTCAATTCCAACCAGTCGTCCTGTCCCTGCAGCTGAAAAACACCCCCACAGCATGATGCTGCCACCACCATGCTTCACTGTTGGGACAGGTGATGAGCAGTGCCTGGTTTTCTCCACACATACCGCTTAGAATTAAGGCCAAAAAGTTATATCTTGGCCTCATCCGACCAGAGAATCTTATTTCTCACCATCTCACAACTCCATGCGGGCTTTCATGTGTCTTGCACGGAGGAGAGGCTTCCGTCGGGCCACTCTGCCATAAAGCCCCGACTGGTGGAGGGCTGCAGTGATGGTTGACTTTCTAAAACTTTCTCCCATCTCCCGACTGCATCTCTGGAGCTCAGCCACACTGATCTTTGGGTTCTTCTTTACCTCTCTCACCAAGGCTCTTCCCCCCCGATAGCTCAGTTTGGCCGGACGGCCAGCTCTAGGAAGGGTTCTGGTCATCCCAAACGTCTTCCATTTAAGGAATGGAGGCCACTGTGCTCTTGGGAACCTTAAGTGCAGCAGAAATTTTTTTGTAACCATGGCCAGATCTGTGCCTTGCCACAATTCTGTCTCTGAGCTCTTCAGGCAGTTCCTTTGACCTCATGATTCTCATTTGCTCTGACATGCACTGTGAGCAGTAAGGTCTTATATAGACAGGTGTGTGGCTTTCCTAATCAAGTCCAATCAGTATAATCAAACACAGCTAGACTCAAATGAAGGTGTAGAACCATCTCAAGGATGATCAGAAGAAATGAACAGCACCTGAGTTAAATATATGAGTGTCACAGCAAAGAGTCTGAATACTTAGGACCATGTGATATTTCAGTTTTTATTTTTTAATAAATCTGCAAAAATGTCAACAATTATGTGTTTTTCTGTCAATATGGGGTGCTGTGTGTACATTAATGAGGAAAAAAATTAACAAATGATTTTAGCAAATGGCTGCAATATAACAAAGAGTGAAAAATTTAAGGGGGTCTGAATACTTTCCGTACCCACTGTATTAGCAATTTTCATTTTAGAAAATGTCCAACCGTTGATATCATTCATTTCAGTGTCTATCCAAACAAACAAATACATATATATGCTAGAACCTCTTTAAGTATGAATACCTATGAATAATATTAATGAACGGACAAAATATAAAAGTATTAAAAAAGCAGATGTTAATTTTGTTTTAAAAATCATATTTACCCTCAGTCTTTGAGTTATACATTTATTGTTCGTTTGTCGGTTTGAGGCTCGTGCGACTGGCTGAATTGTCGTCGAGATGTTTTTGTTCCTGATTGGTCTATTCTTCATCATGTGACTGCATGAAACCACTCTGTTCAATCAGCTGCACTGCTCACACTGGCAGAATATGAAGTCTGAGTCCATGGGCGTGCCGCCTGATTTGGTTTCTGTGGTAACTAGTGGCGGTCATAGGCAGTGGCGGAGCCTCGGGATGCACTATAATAATAGGGGGAACCTGAAAGTTAATAAGAAAGGAATGTACCATTTCAATACACCACGACAATGACTGCATATTAATATATTAAATGCATATTTGTTTTAAGCATCATATAGTATTGATTTCATGTATGGCCAGGATTTTGCTATCAAAATAATTAATGCAAATTCCATCAACTTCAGCCAAGATCCAGGAATTACAAACCAATAAAATTGAAATAATTATGTAAACGACTGGAAAAAATATTTTTAACACATATAATCGCTCTATGAACACACAATGCTATTTTTATTTAATTTACCATGTTGTTTACAGAATACCCAAATATATATATATTTCATGTCATTTCAGCTAATATTCAGATGCTTACGGCATATTTAGCTTGTGCACTAAAACATTCACAGCTAATTGTTATTGCATAATGATTATTGGTAAAGATTCACCACATAATACTACAAAAAGTCATAAATGCAAAAACTGTTGCAGAGTCAAGCGTTTTAGACAGCAAAAAAACCAAAAAAAAAACAATAAGATCTGTTAATCTTAAAGTATTGTTAAAATGTGCTGGAAATGTTCAAAAAGTACTGACACACAAATAATTTCACCAAGTTTTACATTTAAAATCAACAAATAAAATGAGATTTTGTTTGCATAACTAAAACAATAACATTGCCAATGATGTCCGGATTTTAAATGACTTTAAAAGACATGACAGACAACAGTTTATCTAATAGCATGTTCAAATATCTAATGTAAATGTTCAAATAAAGCTTTGAAAAAGTTTCATAAATGGTAAACCTCACATTTCAGCTTATATATATATATATATATATATATATATATATATATAAAACATGACATGTGCAAACATTGTTATAAAATTCAAATATTTTCCTTATTTGTTATTATTTTCTTATTACGTATTTTGTAAAAAAACAAAAAAAAAACACAGAAATTCATGAAAATGGTTTAGATGCCCAGTAAAGAAAATATCTATGCCTCCTTCATTATGTTATTGTTATAATTAGGGTTGTTATAAGCCCTAAAATTAAATTATTAAACATTGTCTGTGCTACGTACAGGAGGAGATGCAGTAGATGTGAAATATTTTGTCTTGAGTAATCTGACTTTACAATTATTGCCCTGTGATTACTATTCCCAGATTAAATGGGAAAACAAAAATAGTTTGATTACAGCGTTGATCTGTTTGTCTATTTGTAGCTTCCATTCAGTAATGGCCTCCCACCGACCCCCAAAGTACATGTGAGTTTTCTCTTTATCTCTCCATCTTTCACTATTTTTCCTTCTTTTTCTCTTTCATACACACAAAAATTGAAAGATGTATCGGCACACCTAGATTAACACAAATGTCATAGCAACTAAATTTGGAGCGTTCAAACTCCGCTCTGCTGTCACAGTGTTGATCTTTGTTTCTGCTTTGCAGATGGGAGCTTGTTTCTCTAAAGTGTTTAACGGCTGTCCCTTAAAGATTCACTGTGCCTGTTCCTGGATAAACCCAAACACCAGGGGTAAGAAGCAGTTCATGTAGAGCTCATGCATTTTCAAATCACATGCTCCTAAATGACATAATTATAATAATTATGTTTTTCAGCTTTATGAGCTTCCCTTATGACTCTTTTTCAGATCAGTATCTGATTTTTGGTGCAGAGGAAGGAATTTACACCCTCAATCTGAATGAAATCCATGAGAGCACAATGGAACAGGTCAGGGCCTTTTTATTATGGTTTTCTTTTGGCGTTGAGGTTCAAAATTAAGAGTAATTTAAGCAGGCTTGGCGATATAGATATGAAAAATCATATTTTTAGCATTTTAAATCTGTATTTCAAAATGCAAAAAATATGGAAAAATAGCATAATGGATAATAAAAATTATAAATTGATTGTATGTATGTCATCAATAATTATGTATTTTCTCTGAAAGAACATTAATCAGATTGAACCATCATTTGAGTTTAATTGATCTTTTATTTAATTGAATCACGTACAGCTGGTTCCACGGAGGTGCACATGGGTGTATGTAATGACCAACTGGCTGCTTTCAATATCAGGTGAGATAAAACCAATTAAAGATTTACCATGCATTAGAAGTACATTTTAGCTTTACCGTAATACAATCTATGCACGTATATATGGGTGTTTTCCACAGGTAAAGCATCTCAGCTGTACTCATACAACCTGACGATGCTTTTTGAGCAAGCTCGACAAATGCAGAAGTTACCTGTTGCCATACCAACACACAAACTCCCAGACAAAATCATCCCACGGTATGATTCAGATTAATCTTTTTTCTTTTTATATTTTTGTGTAGCTGTTTAGTCCGTTGTCTAGGCCTGTCACGATACCAACTTTTTGTTGTGCGATATATACCCTAGAAATAATTGCGATAAGCGATATTATTGTCATTTTAAACACCATTTTATGCCACTGAATCTGCAGATGAAACTTTTTTTGTTGAAGCATTTTTTTTTTATTTGAACTAGCATCTAATGACTACACCACATTATGTACAAGAAGCTGCAAAAGGCAAGTGGAATGTACGAAACATAGTAACATAAATTTTTAAGTAAATATAATGGGCGATATATTGCGTCACAAAAAATTATTGAGGTCATGTTATTGCATGATAAGTCGATATATTGATTATTGCGACAGGCCTACCGTTGTCATTTGTAATTTCAAATATATATATATATATATATTTTTTTACTGTAAATCCTATTAAATCATATCATTTGCATTTTAGTGCTGTCATGTTAATGCCTTTCTTTCAGGAAGTTTACTGTGTCCAATAAAATACCAGATACGAGGGGTTGTCAGAAATGTTGTGTAGGTCAGTACAAATGCGCTCGCATGCTTTTGATATTCTTATGTTGTGTTGAAATGCCTACCAAATTGTATGATCAGAACACTGCAAAGTTTTTAGGATTTGCGCATAAAATAATACATTGTTTTTATTATAAATGCAGTCAGAAATGAAACATGCTTCTGTATGTGTATGTATAGTGCGAAACCCATACACCGGTCATAAGTACTTATGTGGAGCTTTCCAGTCCAGCGTAATTCTGTTTGAATGGGTGGAAGCCATGCAGCGCTTCATGTTGATAAAGGTAAGTGAGAGAATGAGAAATCACACTGAGAAACACAAAGTGCATCTATGCACAAGACGACAATCCTGTGTATTTGTGTGTGTCCAGAGCATAGACCTCACCCTGCCGTGTCCATTAGAAGTCTTTGAGATGTTGGTGGTTCCTGAGCAGCATTATCCACTGGTTTGTGTGGCAGTCAGTAAAGGAAGCCATCCTGATCAGGTGGTCACGTTTGGCACTGTTGATCCCAATGCCGCCAACCCAGCATTCACAGAGCCCGGTCAGTATCAATTCAAAATTTGACTTGGTTTGGATTGCCAAAAAGAGTGTTGCTCGTGGGACTTGTAGGAACTTTTGTTGTATTGTGTGTTTCCAGAAACACCTCAAACATGTGTCATTCATGTGACTCAGCTGGAGAAAGATACCGTCCTAGTGTGTCTAGATCGTAAGTCATTTCTTTTTATTATAATAAATCATAGAACAATATGATTGTTATGTTTACATTTAATATAATACTCTGCTAATATTAAATATTAGAACAGTTTAAATAATAATAATATTCACTTAGCTATATTATTTAGAACAATTGGTTATAATCATTATAATAGTATAATCAATTCTTCTAAATATAGATAAAGTACATAAATACATATTACAAACAGTTAAAGGCAAGATTTTTTTATTAAAATATCCAAAAACCACTAGAACAGTGTTATATATTTTGCTGACTTGTGTACTTACATTATCCCAAATGTTTCGAAGAATGTTTAAATCCAGAGAAATAAGCAATTTTAACTAGTGACACGGAGCGTGTCCATAGTGTCTTTGTGTCGCCTGCCAATGACGTCATAACCCCTCGATTTCCGGTTTTGTTTTGTAGAAAACATGGAAACACCAAAGACGCTTTAATATGTTGTGCGTTTTAATAGACCGGTGACGACCGCACAGAGTAGCATTATAACAGAACTTTCAAATGTATCTAGTTATGATAAAACAGCGCTGCTTACTTCCGCTGCTTTCCGGAAGGAGCGGAAGCGGTCGACTGTGGCATAATAAAATTTTCCGCTGCTTTCGAGCCGTGTGTCACACTCGTTCAGCGGCCTCGTTTAGCTTCGACGGCTTTCAGCCTCACCCTGCTTCATTCTACTACGTTAATAAATCATTAGCTCATCCATGAACATGATTTCTGCCCCCGGAGTCCCGTCGGATTACATCGGCTGTGGGGATGAAGACGACAACTCCCATGATTCCACACTCAGTCACGGCGTCATCAAACTACGCCTTTGTTTCTTTGTTTGTTTTGAATACGCGCCCTCTAGCGGCAAAAATTACATATTGTGCCTTTAAATTATATAAATGACATTTTTTATTATTGTTATTGTTAATAAGAATAAACAATAAATAATGCATATAATACAAATGAATTGTACTTAATATTCTTGTCACCATTTTACAAAACCACAGTTGATTTTTGCTACAGTTATAGATATTTTTAGCTACAATATGATAAATCACATGTACATTAACCTGTCTCCTGATAAAGCTATAATGGTTTCAGAATTCACACAGAATCTTTTTCTGTTGGTATTTGTCATTACCTGCAGCGCAGATTCATGTTCAAACAAGCATCTGCACAGGCTCTTGCATTTTCTTTATGCAGCAGTTCCAGCTCTAGGAAGCCATTACTCATCATTTATTTCTGTATTTTGCAGGGTGTATAAAGTTGGTGAATTTACAGGGCAGGTTAAAATCCAACAGAAAGCTGTCAACTGAACTCACCTTTAACTTCCAGATTGAGGCAATAGGTAAGAAATAAATTAATACGAGATTCAAGACTGAGGTGGGGATGTCATTGTGCGCTTTGATTAATAACAATGCATTTGTCTTTTCTCCAGTATGTCTGCAGGACAGTGTTTTGGCGTTCTGGAAGCATGGAATGCAGGGAAGAAGCTTTAAAAACAGTGAGGTGTGTGGTGTGCCTTTGGTTTTCTAAATTCACCTAGTTTTGCTGTAGGAAACAGGTGATCAAATAGCTTATCATACAAAAGTGAATTTTGATGGGTTAATGCTTCCATCGTGACGTACCACTGATCTAGATTATACATTCATAGCCCGTAACATAGCTTTAAAGTGCAGTCACAATAGCCAAATTTTGTGGGCAAAACAAGGTCAAGGTCCATTGTCAACAATTGATGGTAACTGATGTTCTCTGCTTTAGATTACTCAGGAGATCTCTGATAACTCGCGAATCTACAGGCTGCTGGGTGCGGACAGGTGAGATCTCACCAGAACACACATTGTACCGCCGTGGTCAGCACTGTTCTTACAAACATTTTCTCTCTTTCTCAAGAGTGGTGGTGTTGGAAAGCAAACCGACGGAAGACCCTACAGCTCAAAGTAATCTGTATATCCTCGCGGGCCACGAGAACACCTACTGACAACACACTGCCTTAACACACACTACACAATGCACGCAACAAAGTACATGTTCATGAGACTTATACACCTCAATTTCCTTTATGAAGCTACTGAACAAAACACTACAAAAAAAAAAACATACTCAAAGACAGTTGAAATTAAACACTACAGATTTTAATACCAAATTTTTTGGTTTGGTATGATACCAGCCCCTGGTTGCTCGTATCGATACAAAATCGATACCTCAGTACAAGCAGATGTAGGTAGACCGTTTAATATGCGTGATAGATTCGCATAGCATGTAACGGCAAATCAATTAATTTCCAGTTAATGCATTATATCTTTTGGTATCGTACAGGTTTAACGTAATTTTTTTGTACTGCCAAACTGCGTGAACTTACTATAGATGCATTTCAGTGTCAGAGACCTTGATACACAACCATCAGTTCTGTGCGACTGAGATAACTAATGTGAAAACACAACAGTCTAGTACAAAAGTTGTCTAAAAGAGGACACCAATATCATGGCTTTTTATATCTGGCATGATATGCAGGTGTTTTACCATCTTGTTAGCTTTGTAGCTTTCGGTACTGCCCTGTAAACAGCTCCTCTCTGTCATGCTAATAGCAGTTCACACGGAACGCATTCTTCTCACATTTAAAAATAGAAGAACACAAGAATGTTGAAAAACAATTAGTAGAATGGAACGCAGAAACACGATCTGTGTGAACCAACTGTAAGTCTAACAAACTCAGCTGTATTTTCTTCTGCTTCTCTTTCTCTACATTTCCCTCTTTTGGCGTCCGCTGTTATCATAAGGGTGCAGTCCTATTAGTAAAATTTCCATGAAATTTTGCGGGTAAAAAAAAAGTCCATTGTCATGTGTAGAGATACATGAAGCACTTTCAATGTCACTTTCAGACCAAGCAATTTTCTGTTGGTCAGGGCAGCAAAATAATGTGACTAATTTTAACCCGATGTGAAATCTTTGTGCGAAAATCTTTCACCCTAATGAGAAATTTGCTAAATAACTGTTAATGTAACTGCACTTTAAGGCTTCAGTAAGTTTTATGTCTCATTAGATCCATATTTCCGTATTAACAGCACAATAACAGACAGTGAAACCTTAGTGCATGCGTTTCTGGTGCTTTGAAAATTATGAATGTTAATGAGCTTATAGGCCATTCACACAGAATGCATTTTTGCATTTAAAAAATGTGCGACCCAGGGCAGTGGAATGAGAAAAAAAACAACCTTCTTTTAACTTGAGAACCACATTTTTAGAACCGCATGTCATTTGCAAGACACTACGAGAAGTGCAAGAGTAAAGGTCAAGTCAATCTAGCATATGTTTACATACAAAACAATGAAAAAGCAGCGGAGAGAAATACAATAACAGGTTCTCTGTGAACAGAAAAAAATCCTGCAGTGAAGGATTTTGCTTATTAATGATTTTTAAGGTATAATGATTTTTGTTTATTAGTTCCCACATTAAAAAATACTATAGTAATTTATAGTAAATACTATAGTGTTTTTGAACCATACTATAGTAAAGTACTTGAATTAATTTGTTGTGATAATTCTATAGTTGCTGTGGTAATATAACAATTACTTTACCCAATACTGTACTAAGTTTTCTACAACTATAGGGTATATTATTATACTACAATACCCAACAGTTTACTGTAGTAAAAACTAAAGTATTTATTAAAAACTACAGTATTTATTACAGTTTTATCAGTTCACTATAGTTAATACTTCAGTATGCTGTAGCATTCACTAACAAACTGTTATAAATACTATAATATATGCAGTATAATACACTTTACTATATATTATGGTTCAAAACACTAGTATTTACTATAAATTACTATAGTATTTTCTCATGTGGGTTGCCAAATACGAGTAATTTTGTTGGATTGTTTAAATATACACTAGGGGGCGCCATGTTATCATGACATTATTCTGCAACTCGTTACACAAACTGAGGTAAAGTCCTGAAGGATTTTTAGTTACCACTTCCAGTGGAATAAGCATTGAATAATGAAAGTAATAACAGCCAATATAAATATTTTCATCAAAGTATAATCATTCATGAATGATGCTAATTCATTCATACTGTAGTGATATCCTTAACTCCTCCTTTTCATTATTAAAAAAGTACTGTGGCTGTATCATGGTATAGTGGTATCAGATGGCAATACCATATATATCATGGTTCTGAATGATTACCCTAGTCATATACCATGGTATTTACATGGCACTCAAGGTGCTTCAAACAATACCATGGTATTACCATAGTGCAATGTCCAAGATATCATGAAAATACCATAAAAGACTGTTTGTTATGCCCGATACTGTAACAACATCTTGAGCCACTTAATGGGAATGGAGTGATTTTTAGAGTTTTTCTATTTCATTATTTATGCAGAAAGGCCAAGTGTCATGTTTTAGTTCATTACCAAGCACTGTATTGAAGGTTTGCACAATGCATTTGCTCACGTGTGCTTTTCTCTGTGTGCACTTACAGGCTGTAATGTCAGTAGTAAGAGTTTAACAGATAAAGAAATCCTATTCATCAGGCTCACTGAAAACTGAACAGAGATAACATAACGTCTTACGGATGCAGTATGTGTAAATATGAAATGGGAAGTCAGAAAAAGCACTCTTTCTAGAATGTAGCTGTCTGTGAAGCTATCTAGCATTTTTATCAGTTCGAATCACATATCTGAATACGAACTGTTCTTTTTGTGTCAAAATAGCAAAATCATGTTTCGTTTAGCTGAATGCGCAAATTTAGCATGTCGTGTCTACCTCTAACATGCATTTAAAAACTCTACATAAGATCATACGCCATTAAAACCCTACTGCAAATAAAGTATCTCCCTAGCAGCATTTTTAAACCCTGGGCTTGTCATGTGATCTACGATCTGGATTTTTGTCAAGACCCGAATGAAACCGTGTCTGAGCCTAATCTCCAGTAACATTTACTCTATATGTTTGAAAGAGTCATAATTGTGTTATTGGATGCTTTGCGTACAGAGCGTGTGTCAAACTACTCCATGTTCACTACAGCAGCGTTTTCTTGTGTGATGTGATGCACATGTCTTGTATATAGTGTAAAATAATTTGAGTTTTACAGACTGTATAAAGCCAATATTTTGTTTCAAATGTGAAACTCTTTTATGAGATTTAACACATTAAACCAAGGTGAAAAAATATCAAATACATCTGAATGGTGTTGTTATTTTTGTCATATATACACACACATTTATACATAAAAATAAGTGTTACCTTAAAATAAGATTTGCTTTATTATTGCTTTATTATTTTAATTGTTACCATTTACATTCAAATATATTTACATTTTTATTTGTAAAGTATACAGCATGTATTTATTAATGTGTAATTAACATTTTACACTAGATCAGATATAGTTTTGCATCCTGTCAGAGTGGCCCAGCATAAACCGAACACAAGATGGATAAGGGTTAAACTGTTTGTTTATATGGGTAAGTATATATTTGCATAAACAATGCAAGAACCAAAGGTTCTCAAAATTCTGCCCAAAATTATATTACTAATAATTAATTTATCATGCAAAATGTTTTATGTCCGAAAGCATGAAACCCTCGACATTCAAGAGATATTTAGAGAGCAAACACTAAAGACCAAGCATTTGTGCATTCCCTGAAGCAAAACCAGTAGAGAACCACTTTAAACAGCAGTTCCTCTGTCAATGTCTGCTGTGTGAGGGGCTTTGGTGGACTCCAGCTCTCCGCTGCTTTGACATTCAGCTTTCACTGTTGTCTTCTCCTTTCCGTCACTAGACCTGACACACACACACACACACACACACACACACAAAGTATCACGGCTTTAAATGTGAGGACATTTTGTATGTGCAAAGTAGCCATGTGTCTCCTCTTATTAACTCACTTCTTCTTAAAGAGCTTCTTGAAGGAGTTCCTAAATCCTTTTCCTTCTTTCCTACTGTGTTCACTCGAGGGGGTGTGGTCATAATCATCAGACACACCCCTCAATTTGAGCTCCTCCCACACCAGGCTTCTAGGATCCTGAGGAACAAGCACAATGAGCTTTTAGTGAAAAGCTCAATTGTTTTAGTATGCATTTATTTAAATGTGAGCGTGCGTGAAAGCCTTTCACACACACTCATATTTAAATAAATGCATACTAAAACAATTGAGCTTTTAATTTTCAGCTTTTAGGGACAATTGTAAGGTTTTGTGGGTGGTTGCCAGAGTGTTGTTATGCAGTTGATTTGTGTTAGTTGCCAGGGCTATGCAATACTATAATTGTAAAGGGGTGGAAATTTTCTGGTGAATGTTTAGAAAGTTTCCAAAAAAGTTTCAATATTTTAAGAAAGTTTCCAAATAATCCTTTCAAAAGGATTAAGTTTTCACAATTCTGCAATGTTTTCTGAAATTTACTGGAATTTAAATTTTCTGCCTTTTTGCAACCCTATGCAATACAGTTGCTAAGGTGCTAATAGCCACTAATAATCTGTTTATATATGAGTGTGTGTGTGTGTGTGTGTAAATGTGCATGAGTGTGTATCTTTTGATGTATTAGTCGTGGCTGCTCCTCTGTGTCAGTGTGTGTCTCATATCTGTGCTTTGGACTGGTGGGCCTCAGCCTTGATTTGCTGCTTGACTGGCGCTCCAGCCTCGGGTGGGCGGGAGTTTTCGTCTGGTGGGTGTGGCTATCAATACTGTCCATCTGTAGGCCGTTCAGTGATTTGCTCTTTCTCTGCACTGCCTGTAGAGGGCGTGGTCTCACAATATCTGCTGAGTCAGGTGACATACAGGCTCTGTTGGACCTAAAATGTGCATGAGTGTGTACCTTTTGATGTATTAGTCGTGGCTGCTCCTCTGTGTCAGTGTGTGTCTCATATCTGTGCTTTGGACTGGTGGGCCTCAGCCTTGATTTGCTGCTTGACTGGCGCTCCAGCCTCGGGTGGGCGGGAGTTTTCGTCTGGTGGGTGTGGCTATCAATACTGTCCATCTGTAGGCCGTTCAGTGATTTGCTCTTTCTCTGCACTGCCTGTAGAGGGCGTGGTCTCACAATATCTGCTGAGTCAGGTGACATACAGGCTCTGTTGGACCTATAAACCACACCCCCAGCACTTCGCCCTCTACTGTGGGACTGTCGAGGTGGACTATGAGAAGGACTACAATGCACAAAGGCAATATCAATGCTGGAGTCAGAGGAATGAGACGGGCTTGAGCAGCGAGAGCCTCCGGCTCTGTAGGGAAAAAGCGCACCCAGAGCATCAGAGAGGACAGATCCCGTTCCCTCCGTCTCTGGAATGCTGCGCAGAGGAACTGAGATGGCTTTGTGGCGAGAGTCAGAGTCAGACAGGAAGGAGACAGGGGATGGGATTTCTGTGTCGTAGTGATAGGGTGCCGTTTCATAGTCAGGGTAGCGTTTGTTACATCGAGAGGGATCACTTAAAATAAAAAAGACATAGAAAATGTATAAGGGTATTTATTCAGTCCTGGGCACTTTTTAATGTTTTTGGAAGAGACATTAAAGTCTCTTATGCTTACCCAGGCTGTATTTATTTGATCAATTTAGAATAACCGTTTTCAATTTTAAAGTGGTCATATGATGCGATTTCAAGTTTTCCTTTCATTTTGGAGTGTTACAAGCTGATTGTGCATAGATAAGATCCCTGAAGTTGCAAAGACTAAAGTCTCAAAACCAAAGAGATATTCTTTATCAAAGTTAAGACTCTGCCACGCCCCCCTAAAACGGCTCGTTCTAACATGCCCCCACATATCTACCTCACTATGTGGAAATATTAGCATAATGCGCCCAAATGTGCACGCAAAGAAAGAAGGCGTGGTTTTAGTAACCGCAGTTAGTGTTGAAGCAATATGTCAGGGAGACGCTGTGTGTTTCAATGCGAAAGCAAAAGCACTTTATTTGGCCTTCGGTGGTGTGTATCTCAAATTTAATCTCAAACACACTCTTCACTAAATAGACTATTTAGTAGGAAATTTGTCAGTGTGATGGAAATAACACCACAAATGTGGAACATGCGATAAATATATATATATATTTTTAACTTATATAAGTACGGTAATATTTTTATGATGGATGAAAGGGTAAAAAATTTAATCCATAAAGGGCATAATGAAGGCATGGTTAAATTTGCATAATAGTGCCTAAAGTAGAAACACCCATAAATTCACAGAGAGCTCATTTTGTGATATATTTGGTTGGTGTATCTATCTACTCACTTTTGTGCGCTGGTGTTGCTGTAATTTTTCTCATAGTCGACTTTATACAGCTGTCTCACTGTAGACCTGACGTTAAAAACAAGTGCCAGTAAATCTTACAACACAAAAACACACACATTTGTTCATTTGAACTTACCTGCTAAGCTCTTTTCGGGTGTGTGAGGGCCGCTCCTGCTGGTGTGTGCACAGGTTGTGTGTGTGTTCTCGCAGGGCATGACTGTGTGTGAGGAGCTCCTGGTTGTGCTGTAGCAGATGGCTGTACTGGGTCATGAAAGATCGGAGTTGTTGCACAGACACCAGTAACAGGTAATAGTCTGGATGCTCTGACTCTGTCTGCTGCAGAAGACTCTGTAAAACACAGCAACATACAAATGGATGCATATATGCATTTTCTTTAATGTAGCAATGCTTGACCAAGGTGATACCATCACAAGTATCAAACATGCACAACTAACAAACATGCCTAAAATGCTGTTAGTATGACAATAAAGATGTATTTGACTACCTGGAGGAGAGTATGGTATTCTGGGATACGTTGGACAGGTCGAAGAAGCAGAGAATGCAGAGATGGACGTGTCTCATCCCCTGTGATGTCACTCTGGATTTGAACACATACAACAAATTAGAAACCCATTATGTAGATTCATAATCCACAAGTAACCTAAACTTGTGTTTTATGTGACAACTAAATGATCTGGGTTTATTCAAAAATATGATTTTAATATTCTACTATTATGATAACAATATTAACAAAAATTAAAAATATTAAATGAATATTATTTATTAATAGGGTGAAATGAAATAGAAATGTCATTCATAGAAACATAATGTACGTCTCTATCATTTCTCTGGCATTACACGATATGCCTCAAGTATCAGTATATTAAACAAAATTAAGTTTTTAATCTTGCATTTATTAAATATAAAATATGTGTATGTATACCTCCAGTAAGCTGGCTGATTTTGAAGAGGAGAACAGACTAACAACTGTCAAACATTCTGGCAGGTCCCGTAGGTATGATACATAATGATCCAGAAAATCACTCTGCAAAACACACATTTGAGATTACATAGTGCACTTTAGGGCATGGTAGGATGGCACATTTAGCTCATTTTCGCTCTATAATATTTTACTTCTTTGCTAGTGAGCCTTAGAAATACATCTCCCATGATTCCTTGCCAGTGGCTCTTAAGAACTCTCTCCTGAAGGAGGTGAAGGAGTTCCAGATGCTGCTGAATCAAGAAGCGTAGAGAAGGAGGGAAAGGCCTGAGAGTAAGAAACGAGAATAAAAAAACAGCATCATGCGCCTAAAATCACTGTTTTACAATACATTTTCTTCCTTAAAATGTATAATTACTAAAATCTACGAGACATGAGAAAGAAAAGAGTAACAAAATATTCTTTATATTATGTCTGTTCCACAGCAGACTATTACAATTCACAGTCTCTGTTTAGCACTGAATTTCTGACAGGGAGAACTGATTTAATGTTGTTGCCTGTGTGATGATCTGCGCTATTGTAGGGGCCAATTAACAATTAACATTGGGACAACGCTACATAAGTGTGAGAGTGATACATAGTTACCGTTTGTCTTTGAGGTCGATGTTTTCCGAGCCATTAAAACTGATGTTGGCCTTTAACAGGAGTGAGAGATACGACACGTATGCTCTCTCAGACTCCAACAGCTCCAGTGCTGCAGTCTGCCTCTGAGCTGAAAAAAGGCATGATTTTAAAACTGGTCATTTATTTTTCAGTTCTTTTCACTTAAATTATTATGACAAATGAAAAATAAAAGCATTTTCACTTTTATTCTGCTGCATACCACTCACTTATAGTTGAGTTATTTTGTTCTTTCAAATCTCGGCTGTTTTTTCTCTCCCTCCACACTGGAGACTTCTTTTGACCGTCATGCTCAGGACAAGAGTCTAACCGCAAAAACACAATCTATTGTCATCTTATACACTACCACGCTATCATTTCCACACTTGTGTTTATAGTACAAAACATAATTTCTAAATTGTAATACTCACTCTGATTAGCTGACAGGCTGCTTATGTAATGCTGAATGAGACTGAGTTCTGTTTGGCTGTTTAGAGAGGCGTGGCCATCCACTGATCCCTCCCCCCTTGAGCCTTTCCTATCAATAATACCACAGGTTTATATATTTTGATTTTACATTTACATTTAGTCGTTTACCAGATGCTTTTATCCAAAGCGACTTACAAATGAGGACAATAGAAGCAATCAAAATCAACAAAAAAGCAATAATATGCAAGTGCTATGACAAGTCTCGGTTAGCCTAGTACACATAGCAAGTTTTTTTATTATTAAATTTATGTAATGAATCAAATGAAAACAAGTAGATAGAATAGAAATGAAAGAATAAAGAAAGCTAGTTTTAGAGGCCTTTTTTAAAAAAAGAAAACAAGTAGTTAGAAAACTAAAACAAATTTTCAAAAGAAGTTACGTGCAGACTGAATCCCAAGTGTGTTAAATTGGGTCTAATGTTCAATACACTATACCATAAATTGTAAAGAAAAAAAAAAAGAAGCAATTTAGTAGCCACAGTATATCACCTGTGTCGTGTGCTCTGCATGAGGTCCAGGTCCCTCTGCAGGTCTTTTTGGTTACTCCTAACCTCAGAGAGCTGCGTTAGAGCTGTGCTTATGTCTTCCTGCATACGCATACACAATTAAAAAAAAGGAAAATACACAATGTCATCAAAATATAAGCAACATTTCAAAATGACAATGCATGGAAAAAATACAATTTCAAAAACCTGAATTCTAGAAAATAACTGCAATATTATATTTTAACATTATTAGAATTATATATATATATATATATATATATATTATAATATATTAATTTAATTTATATATAATATACAATACCTTTCAATAGTTTGAGGTTGATAAGATGTTTTTTTATTGTTTTTGAAATAGGTCTCTTATGCTCACCAATGCTGCATTTGTTTGACAGTAAAAACCATGATACTGTGAAATATTGTTGCAATTAAAAATAACTGTTCCCTATTTTAATATATTTTAAAATGTAATTTATTGCCGTGATGGCGATGCTGAATTTTCAGCAGCCATCTCCAGCAGTCTCCAGTGTCACATGATCCTTCAGAAATCATTCTGATTTGATGCTCAAGAAATATTTCATATTATTATCAATGTTGAAAACAGTTGTGGAAACTGTGATATTTTTTCATGATTCTTTGATGAATAGAAATGTCAAAAGTCTTTTCTGATGAGTTTAATGCATCCTGATAATTGTTTTTTAAATCATACTGACCCCACACTATTAAACGATTGTGTATATTATTTAAATTATATTTCTTATCCACTCATTATATATCACATAATATAACTGTTAGAACCTGTAATGTGTTAAGTGTGTTTCTGAGAGACAGGATCTTTTCATTAGTTTCTTGTTGATAGGTAGAGACTTTCTCCTCCAGTCGGCTGTAGGTTTGCCGTAGGGTGGCAAAATCTTCAACCACACTTCCAACTCCTAATTTTAGCTCCACCCACATTGCCTGCAACTGAAGCAACAAGTCAGAGGTCACCAATACTCAATAAGAGACAAACCCAGATAGAGAGATGAAGGTTAAGCAGGAGGACAGGAGCTTCAGATCAGTCTCAATAGCATTAGGGAGGGTCAAGCTAAATGTGGCCTGAGTTCTGTCACACTCTTCCTATTAGCAATTCATTGTCTCAATGACTTTTATTTTCTTAACAGCAGTAATCTGTGCGGGTGTATGTGATTGGAATTAGAGATTAATGAAACAGTGAATTTAAAACAGAAAACCTATTTTGTCAAAAAGACACACACACATCAAAGTATACAAAATCATGAGAAAGCTATCACAAACTGGAAGTGAGTAAAAGAGAGGGCAGTTTAGATTACCTGAAGGTCTATGGCATCTATGTCATTACCTGTACCTGCAAAAACACACAAAAACATAATTTCATGCAGAAATACAGACATTATCACACAAAAGTTGACAGAAACATGCACCTAAAAGAAAGAAAACTTTCCAAAAATTCATCCATTGAACTCTTCACTTAAAGTAGACTTCACTGTTAATGACCAATTAATCATATATATATATATATATATATATATATATTAAAAAAGCATTACGGAAGATCTAAGAATTTTTGCAGATTGAAAATCCAAGTTGGTTTACCCTCTATTTTGCCATTCTCCATGATCCGATAGTCTTCCAGGTCCAAATCCAGGACTGTCGTTTCAGATCCTCTTTGGTTTGGATCCTTTCTAGTAGAGTTTCTTTGCTCAAACTGATTAACTTTAAAAGCCAATGAAATGTCACACTTCTATGTTTTGATATAGTTCAAAATAACAGAAGATGCTCTCTGATTCTGTGACTTTGTCTTTCTATCACTTGTCTTTTTCTCTCTCTCATCTGTCCCACCTATCTCTTCCCCTCCTCTTTGAAACATGTGAGTCTGATGAAGTCGAGGACAAAAAGAGGCCTTGTTTTACAGTAAGTGGATGGATGAAGGAAGAGAGAGAGAAAGATAGAGACGTCTGTTAGCATTTTTATGGTTCAGAATCAGACGATTAAATTTCCTCTTCAACCTTTAAGACCAATTTTCCATTTTACAATGAACTCTGTATGAGCTCTGGAAAGGATCCACTAGGCATATGAACAGAAACACCCACAAAATTATTGTCATAAACTCAAAAATGAACATTGAGTCATACCTAATTTAATTGAGGTATAACAATGAAACAAATAAAACACCCTCAAGAAGTTATTCAGTTTCAAATGGAATCACGCACTGGAGCTTCAGGTTCATTTGAAGCAGATTTAGAAGTGAACCGAAGGGTGGTAGATCTCCAGTTGAGCTCTTGATCCACAGTAAACACGTTCTTACTCCAGAGGACAGGAAATTGAGCCTTACGGTCTTACACAACTCCTGACTTCTCATCGCAGTCATGAGCTCTGCTGCTGTGCGTGCTCGTGTATTTTGGAGATGCGCTCCACCAATGGCTGAAACGTACACAGAGAATCACATTCCTCTCACCCTTTGCACTAAAACAAAGTAGTGATTCTTTCAGAAGTGCAGTGTGTGGGAACATGTGTTCTTGATGTTCAGTGGATGCTGCTGGAACTGAAGCTATTTCATTGGATCTCATCAGTGCCTCAGGGCTGCTAGCTGTGGTAATGCATCACTGTGTATCTAAGATCTCTTTCAATAGTTTCACGGGTGGTTATTCTTTCAACTTCAAGTTGACTCAGATGCTTGCTTCATAATCTTGATAAAATGCTCAAATTGTACTATCACTATTTAAAAATTCAGTGCTTCAGAATATCTTTTGAAGTTCAGTTTGGTCTAGTGATTGGCTACTTAACAATAGAGCACATACTGAATGCCAACTAATAAAGAAAAAGAACAGAAAATGTTTTTCTGTATACATTTAAATGGTGTGTGTTTGTGTGCAAGTCACACGTTGACTTTGAGCTTCAGTCCCAGTGCGGCTTTGTTATGAAACTTCCCCCTCCACACAAGTCCTTGTGAATCTGTGAACTCCCCTTCACCTTCAAATCTGCAAAAACAAATTGATGTTCTGACAATTAAGCCTTCCTTATGACAATATCGCCAATTCCTGCTTTGCATATGTTTGCAGGACTGATTATACTGTATCACCTGTTGTTGTTAAAAGTTCCTGTGTATTCTGTCCCATCAGGAAATCGATAAGTTCCTTTGTCATGATACATGTTGTCTCTGAACAGGCCGCTGTAAAACGCCCCTGAAGGGTGTGTGAGAGTTCCACTGCCATTCATCTACAGGCCACATAACACCAGCAACCAAGACATAATTACAAAAAGCATATTAAGAGAAGTAATATCCAAGGTAGTTGTCACATGCCTAAATTTACATTTCATCTAATTTGTTGCATAATGCACTCAAAACTGAGATAAAAGCATGAATAATTCAGTGCTAGCCTATGAAAGGAGATCAGATGAGTCACTGACCTTGACAGCTTCAGTGCACATGTGACCAAAGTTTGACTTACATAAATATTGTAATTATTATTTTTTTAAATCCCACACACACCTTATCATTGTCCCATTCTCCAGTGTATGTAACTCCAGAGGCTGATGTCTGTGTGCCAGACCCTTTCCTTATCACCACACCATCTGAAGTACGACAGCATTCGCCCTCTAAACACAAACACACAAGTACACACCTGTTTAATGGGCTTAAATAAAATAAAAGATAACATTCACAGACACGTTTAACGCTGTCAGCTAACTCACCATATTTGTCTCCATTTGGAAAAATGTAAGATATTTTAAGAGTTGCAGTCTCTACAACAAAGAGCAGCAAAGTTAAATCAGGCTTTTATATCTTGAAGTGACAGCCAAAAAGAGCAAAGAAACGCAAGTTTAAGTTATTCAACAAGTATTTATATTTAGAATGTATATTCTAAATTATAGAAATAATTGTTCTGAACATATTTACCAGACATGATGCTGTATTTATTTGGTTATAATAAAAGCTTTACTAAAAACTCTTTACATCACGTCATTCAGGAACGTTGCAATAGAATCTCCATAGCAACGACGCAACAACTCTGCTTCGTCTGATTGGTTTTGAGTCATGTGCTGTCTGTACTGCCATCTGGTGAACGCGCCACTGATCTAACGCACTCTGCCGACCCGGAAGTTATTCCAGTGGGTGTCCAACGTGTGTGTGGCGAGGCAGCTGCGCGTTAACGTAAGTAAGGTAATAAATGTACATATTTTTCCACTTACGCTTTACTGCGAGATGGAACGCATGTTAACGTTAAACATGTTTTGGCAGGATGTTTTTTTTTATCGAATATAATTGATTTCTGTTTACGTTTTTTTTGTCACACCACCAGTGTCATACGAACTCATTTTCTCTTTCAGACGTTTTAAAAGAGACCCCATTTCGTAGGTTTTAAACGGGAGATCTATCTGGTTTTACATGTTATAATGTGCGATTTGACAGCTCAGCTTTTCTGTTGACAGATTAAGGGAAAGTTCAGACGGCAGATTTTAGTTGTGATGTCATTACATCTTTTAGACCTTAAAGGTCCCATATTGTGAATTTTCCTGGCTTTTTTCACGATATACCATATA